TAAACATTTAAACATTTAAACATTTAAACATTTAAACATTTAAACATTTAAACATTTAAACATTTAAACATTTAAACATTTAAACATTTAAACATGATACGCAGCATGTAGATGATCAATAATACAGTAAAACCTTCCTTTAACGGACACCTCTGGATAGCGGACACCTCTTGATAACGGACATTTTTGTAAGATCGTAACTAATACATAAGAAAGTAATTTAAAAAAATCCTGTCTACAACGGACACTCTGATTAGCGGACGCGGACGGTGAGATTTTCCACATTTACCATAAATGTCATATAAATTTACCTCCTACAACGGACAGACTGACAGAGCCGTTTACTCTAAAACAGGTACTAAAGTCTACTCTAAAGGAGGTACGAACAAAAACACTCTGTCACGGATACCGATCTCACGGTTATTACGACCATGGAATTTGTAAAATAAAATGGAGCTGTCATTTGGTCCTCAAAAATGCAATCAGCAGTTTACAGTTAAATGTTTTTGTTGCGTTACCACCTACTTACCCACTTCAATAATAAGTAATATACATGAATAGTTTTAGTTTTACCAGTAAATGTAAACTGTTTTATAAATTAACTTTAATATAAGATTCAATTAATGAGTTGCAGAATACACAATAACTTATTAATTAAAGTTATGAACTTCAAAAACATAATCAAAAGAACTTTTGGTCTAAACAAATAAAAATTGACGATTTTTTTTAAATAAAAATGTTTTTTTCTATTTTTTTGTAATGCTTTTAAATTCTTTACTTTGTACTCAATGTTAAAGAGTGCTTTTATCAACTAATTTCAGTAGATAAAGTAGTCTTTTATAGTCCAGTGAAATAATATATACAGGCTGTTCGGTCTAAGTCGATAACACATAAACTTACTTTTTTTTTTCAAAAACTAAATTTTCAAACAATACTATTCATTCCTGGCTTTCTTAGTAAATGCATCAAATTTTTTTGTGTTAAATTTTTGTTAGCACATCCGGTGTTGCCGGAAATGCTACCAAATTTAGTTTTTCAAATGGAACACCTATGTTTTTTTTGCTAGAAACAATAATAATTGGCATGAAAAATACGGTAAACCACTATTTATTGCATTTTACTTTACATAATGCACTCAGAAAACAATTTAAATTTAGAATTTTATTAGCAAATTTTGCAACGTAGGCGGATTTTACCTGTCAAGGTATTCGTGCAAAAAGTAATATGCTTGGATACCGTTTAATTGTTATTTTGACAAAGCCTAATTTGTTAATAAATCTTATTGAGATCTTTAATAATGGATGATATTAATTACGACGAATTGGTAGATCAGCTTGAAGTGTTAGTTCAATAAAAATAGAGCTGAAAGACAGTTTAGAGAAAAATACCCAAATAGAGTTCACCCAAATCGTTGGAAATTTAGTCGAATTGAAAAACAACTGAGACGAACAGGTTCGCTTCTTAAAAATAAAAAAACCTGTGGTTCGTAGTGAAGAACAAGAACAAGAAAATAGAAATCTGAATGTTCTGTTATCAATCGAAGAAAATCCAAGAGTTTCCATAAGAGAACTCGCTCATCAACTGACAAATTAGATTTGTCAAACCAACAATTAACCAATTTCCTTATAAAATTCTAAGATTTACGATGTTTTCAGATTGCATTCTGTTACGCAAAATGTAATAAATAGTGGTTTACCGTATCTTTCATGTCAATTATTATTGTTTCGAGAAAAAAAACATAGGTGTTCCATTTGAAAAACTAAATTTGGTAGCATTTCCGGCAACACCGGATGTGCTAAAAAATTTTGATACATTTACTAAACAAAAGAAAATTTCGAAAAACTTTATTCTTGATAAAAAACATCACATTTTTATAGCACTTTATCATTCATAAATTAGATTTCCAAAAAATAAATAGTTTTAGCGAAAAACGTTTGGTTCCATACTTTTTATTCACCTGGTATGTATCTCGACTTACAATTTTTGACGCCAAAGGAAAATTGCTGGATTCGTCTGAGGCAAGTTGATGAACCGTGCGAAGCGCTAAAAACGGCGAAGCTTTTGCTCCAAAAGAGACCACGTTAATCTCGTATACTTGTAGAGGTTCATCAAATGAAAATCGCCCGAAAATTCTTTGAAAGCATCGATGGTCGGGATTAAGCCAAATTTGTCTGTACATTTGTCGTATGTACATCAGCTGTCAAAGCGAGAAACAATAACCATATCAATTTTTCCTTTTATCGGATGCGTAATAGCACCAATGTCCTTTTAACAGAAGCGTTATTTTTTTAACTGTCAATTTTAAACGGGTACAACAACTTGTAGTGATAAAGTGTGACTGACTAGCGAGATCTACTAAAAATCTAACACATTTATTTTTTGAATTTGGAGCAAATACTTCTACTACCGCGGTTGCAAGCAAAGTGTTACTATAACTGGATGAATGAGGACGAGTATTTGAGGCGGCACAAAAACTATGAGACTCGCAAGGGGTACAATTGACGTCACTAATTGGAACCAACTCCTTTTTAATCGGCTGTTCTTCAACGTGTGGTTTTTCGAAATGAAGTAGAGAATGATGCCTCTTTTTACACGAACTACAAGTGTTAGTAGATTTACAAGCGATTATTTTATGTTTCCCACTTGAGCTCTTTGACTAATTGATATCTTTCCAAGGGACCCAACTTCAAAAGCTTTTGCACACTGATACACTAAATGCGAAGCGTCATTACAAATTGGACAAGCATTATTCAATACGCGATTACTAACTACAAGTGAATGGGTTCTATTGGATTTACTGGAGGAGGCACTATAATTCGATCGACTGGTTGGTATGATGGTGGGTTTTGAGGTACAGGCTAGAATTTTTGTTTGATCCTTTACAAAATCGACGATTTCCTTATATGAAGGAATTTCAGATTTTTTCTGCCAAAGTTCGAAGTGTCTACGCGTTTGACCATCTACTTTCGAAAGTGCGATGGAACCTATGATAAAGTCCGAAAGATCTTCTATTTCTAATTGTTTCAAGGCATTTACTGCTGTATCAAATTTTTCAAAAAATGCGTTCAAACAAACTACCGATTCATTTTGTAAAGGTCTAAACTCAAGAATTTGCGACAAGTAAGTGCTAGCCATGAGACATTTATCATCATATGTTTCTACGAGAGCTTTCCATAAAATAGGATAATTTGTTCCTGTTGATTGTATTCCAGAGCAAACTAATAGCGCTTTGCCCGTCAATTTTCCCAGTAAATAATGCATTTTAGTGATATTGTCTAAATCAGAGTTTTCATGTATTAAAGTTTTAAACGTCTCATAAAAAATGTGCCAGTCAGACATTTGCCTGAGAACTCTACCAACTTAATTTTGGGCAATTTTCTTATAGTTTTTGTAGGATGTGTTTTACTTTTAGATTTTGCAAAAACCTTTTTCTACTATGTAACAATATAATTCGTCTACCGCTTCCAACTCTTTAAAACTAAGCGTATATTTCGGGTCAGCTTCTAAACTTAATAAATTTATTGAGTCCATGCAATCACTAAACAATTTGAGCGTTTCTTCTAGTGTTTTATATCTGATTTTAAAATTTTTGCAAACGGCTTCATGTTCTAAGTTCTGAGAGCCATTATATGAAGGCCCAAAAAAGAGATTCCCGCTTGGCCAGAAGGGACTTTAATTCATTTTCTTTAGTTTTAGCCATGATCAGTTTTCGATAAGCGATAAGCTACAATGATAAGCGAGGGGTTCATAAACCCTGCTTGTATCTTTTTTCTGTATAGACACCCTTTTTTATTAAAGTTTTTGTAGTAAGAAGCTCATTTTTGTCATCAACATTGTACTTACTTAGAGTGTGGTTCTATCAATATTACATATTAGCATTGAATTCTGTCTTTGGACATTAGGTAGTGATCTCTGTCTTCAGGTATCCGATTATAAAGTCTGACAAAGAGCAAACAAGCACACAAGATTTATAAAATTTCTAGGAATAAAAACATAAAAGAAGCACAATTTGTGGCTATGGAGATAAGTCAATTCTTTCACCAAAATTTTGACTTGGTAATTTCCATTTAAAGAAAAAACAAACTTTAGTTGCTATGCAAACATTTCAGTTTTTGACATTTGATGGTTTTGTAAGCTTCATAAATAACTTCCCGATTGCGGGAATAGGCATTTTACTACAGTGATTGCAAGAATAAATAACTAATTGTCACTTATAATAACCTTTAGTAAGATTCTCAAATTTTTTAAACATCGAGATTTGAAATGGTCCACAATTTTCGAAAAGCTGTATTAAAATCAGCTGCAGGAAAAGTGAGGAAAATGAAACGTCGACTATCTATAATCTGCCCACATTCTCGCTGTCAAAAACATTGTTCAAGAGTTACAATTTTGAGATTACACCAAAGTAAACCTAAAAATTGTATTTTTTTATTTGTTGTTAGAACGCAAATAAGAACAATTCAATTTAGTTTGATTACATAGTTCATATATTTATTTGTTTCAGAACGAGTGAACTGGTTGCCTTTATTGCTATATCAGCAACATTGTTTCTTTTTATACACACAAGAGACTTACATTCTAAACTAAAAGAAATGGAAGTGAAACTTCAACCTGAGGATCTTGATGGTGACCAACTAGGTAAGTGGATAGGCGTTGTCAACAAGAACATTTAGCGATCCAATTCTCTTCATTTGTGTAATCTAAATTGAGATAGGGTGAAGCATGATGAATCTCCTCTTAAACTTCTGAAACTGGTTATGATTGGCTATGTTTTCTTAAGAGTTCTCTAATGTCATAGAATTTGATGACAAATCACACAGTGTAAACAAAAATATAGCGATCACTATTTTGACTAAGACTCGACCCAAAACACTTTTTATTTTAATTATTTAATTTTAATTTTTTATTTAATAAATTTGCCCACTAGAAAAGGAAAAAGATACTAAAATTTCAAAAATATTATTTTGAACTTTTCATGGTGTTTAGAGGTTTTTCTGTGCAGAAAATAGCACACACGTCAAGCTATCTTAAACCGTTATACAGTTATGACCCGTCTTATTCCGCTATTCTATAAAGTGTATTACACAGAATGCTTTCAAACGTGTTCTGTCGATAATTATAATATTAAAATTTGGCATTACAGTTGTGCAGATATTTTCTCTATCTCATACAAAATTTATTAAGCGCATATTTATACGGCAAAAAAATTGAGAAAGAAAAGTTTGTAATTTTTTAAAGTTTGTTGTCTGTTATAATAAATAATAACATCTCTAATATTAAGAATGCAACAAACTAATTAGTAACAACAAACGACGTAAATGAAATATAATGTACAGTCGAATAAGGTGAAAATGACGCTTCAATAAACCAGCCTCTGCTGTGGATGCAGACCCTTCTAACCGCAAGCAGGCAGGGTCGTAAATTATCGAATTTCACACTTGACGTAGTTTCAAGATGAATTCTTTTAGGAGCTGGTTTACAGAAAGCGAAATGAAAATTTAATTCAGAATTAAACTAAGTCGTTTGCAAGAGGAACATTTTTTTACCTTTGATTTTACGCCAAAACTGCAAAGGAAAAACATTTTGAGCTTTACCTGAAACGAGCAAATCTGTACTTAAAAGTTCATTATCAAAAATCAACAAAATTAAAACTTAAATGATTTCACAAAACAATAACTAAAGACTAGAAAGTAAAAAAGTAAAAAAATATTGGCAGCGGTTATGAGTTGATAACATTACGACTAACTGCACCATTACTTTGCTTAGTTGACTGCCCCCAAAGCTTTTATGGATTTTAAATGTAAGCAAATGTTCTTCTTCGACAAAAAAAATTACTTTTTAGAACATCATGCCGAACAAAAAATGGAACATCAAATTTTTGACACTTTCTGAAAATTTACAGTAAAGCAGACTTTAAGAAGGATTTGATCGCGCTCGCGTTGATGCAAGGGTATTTTGAGAGAGTAAGATACCAATTTAGGGCGGTTTTTCGAAAAACTATTTAAATTCATCTTTGAGCTAAAAGATCAAACTACAGTTTGACGATATTCATGATTTTTAGTGTTATCGTCTTGGCGAGACAATTAAAAAAACAACATATCGATGGTTGTGTGGAGAAATAGTACATTACAAGCGAGGTGGTAAATATGGCATTACCCGGAGTGCTTATGTATACGATCGAGAGGCGCGGATAAAGCACAAGGGATAATGCCATTACCACCGAGGTTTGTATGCTAACTATTTGATTCACAATCACATTATTTTCATTCAAAAATTTTAGTAAAATAAAATTCTAACAAAATTAAGGTCCAAACGTGGTAGGCTATCCAAATGGTGTTTAATTTTTGACATTTCAGAAATGTCAAAGAAAGCGTACTGCCCCAGAAGTAAGAGAAACTGCTACAAAAGCAATTGAATTACTAATTTAACAAAATATTATGCGTAACTTGACAATTTGAAAGAAAAAATTTCCAGTATTTTTGTAATTTTAAGGTTGGCTATACTGCATATTACCGCCCAAGAGAAGTAATATTATTACTCCTCATGAGATTTAATGATGTGCTTCCGAACTTTTAAAAGGTTAGTAATCGGCATATTACATTAGTGATTGTGAATAAAGTCATTAACGTATATCAAGAATAGTAACGGACCCAGAACCGATACTTGAGGGACACCACACTTAACAGGGAGACTTTCAGACACAGTAGTTTTGAATTGGACACTTTGTTGTCGCTCACTTAAATATGGACATAGCAATTTGCAGGTGTTTGTGAGAATATTGTAATAGAACATCTTACGAACTAATATGCAATGAGAAACACAATCAAAAGCCTTGCTTAAATCTAGGAATGTGTCTTTTGCTAACCCTGCATTTTCAATGCAATCATGAATTTCATTTGTAAAATCCGCAATAGCATTGATTGTGTTTCTTTTTGCTCTAAAACCATACTGTTGTAGACACAACAAACTGTTATCTTCAAAATGCCGCGTCAATTGCTGAACTAAATTTTTTTCTATTACTTTTGAAAATATTGGTGTTAAGCAAATGGGCCTAAAGTTGTTAATGTCATTTTTATCAGATTTTTTATGCACCGGTGTCATTAAAGATTTTTTAAGACATTTAGGAAAAGTGGATGTTCTTATACAATAATTAATCAATTTAGTAAGGGAAGATAAAATAACGTCCTTTACTGTTTTTATAATGTCACTACTAAGGCCATACCAGTCTTTACTCGTACAGTTTTTTAAGTAATTAATTGCATCTCTCACTTGAATACACGAAACCTCACTAAAACTAAAGTAATGGACATTTACACTATTTTTACGCGAACACATTAATACAATAGGATCACAGTTTGATTTTGGTACTTTATCTATCACAGTTTTAGCTACATTGGTAAAATATGCGTTAAAATCATTTGCAGTTATATCCAATCACTCATATCACAGTTTATATTCAGACGACGTTTTGAGTTTATTACAGTCCACATTGCACTAGAAGTGTTATTAGAGTTTTTTTATAAAGTTATCATTTGCTTTAATTTTGGCATTTTTAATGGCCGTGCGGTAATTAAATCTTAAATCATTTCTAGCCGCTTTAACATTTTCGCTTTTAGTTATAGTGTAGAGGTCATTTAGAAAGAAAAGCCTTTCACGAATTTGTTTTAAATCAGAATTAAACCATTTGATCGACTTTGATACCTGTGTTTTGCTTTTGACTATTTTTTCAGGAAAATGAAGCTTATGGTAATACACTATGACACTGATAAAATTTTGAAAACTTTCTTCTACTTTCAAATCACAGTTATCAATTACATAATCCCATTGAACAGACTCTAGTGATTTATAAAATTCGAACTTGCCTCTTTGCGTTAGCGGCCTTATAATTTTTGAACTAGTTTTTTGTTGTATAAAATTATCTTGTTACTCAAATATTCCTATGTGATCAGAAAGGCATAATTTAAATGGACTTACTTTACAAAAATTTATGTTTATATTGGTGAAAATATTGTCAAGACAATGTAATCCTCTGGTGTTAAAGTTTACTAACGGCTGTACACTGTAACTTAGTAGTAAATCTAATAATGCATGGCACTTGTAATCAGATGAATTAAATATAACATTAAAGTCGCCACCTAAAATATTTTTTTTAGAAAAATCTAAGCTTTTTAACACATCATTAAGAACTGTTAGGAATAGTTCAAAGTCACCTGGCGGTGGGCGATAGATAGAGATGATGATGACATTTGTTGAAACTAACTTAATAGCAGAGATTTCACATACGGAAACCACAGATAGATTAACCAGATGATCCAGAGAAACACACTGTAGGTTATTGCGTGCAAAAACAATAGAACCTCCACAACCCACATCACCACGTGTAAACCAAGATTTTTGACTGAAATTTTCCACACTTATTGACTCACATTCACTTGTATTTAACCTATGTTCACTAAAACACATAATAGAAATTGATTCACCAGCTGAAGTCTCATCAGATAGCACCGATTCAACCATTCCAACTTTATTCCTCAAAGACTGAACATTCATAAATAAAAGTCTATTTTTACATACATTGACTTCCTGTTTGAAGGATTTCTTGCTCATTGTTTGTTTTCTTCCGAAAAAATAGAATTTCTTTACTATAACACCTCTGGGCCAATTTTCAGGAGCTCCAAAATCTTTCTTGACATCAAAAGTTGTTCCCACCTTAAAAGATATAGTTTTTGCCTCTTCTCTCTTCGGTAAAGCTTCAATTTCAAATGATTTTTCATCAAATGTGGATGACAATCTTCCTCACCTGTAGATCTTGGCTTTTCACAGGCTTCGCCATCGTTTGAAACCAATCAAAGCTTTTTTTGCGTAGATTGGTATTTATTGGTTGCGTTATATCACTCGAAATTGGATTACTTTTCACAACATCCCCTGGTAGGTTAGTAGTGTCTTTGATTTGATTTGATTTTTGTTTCTTGGGTTCGCTCAACTTTATCTCGACTTTGCTTATCTCAACTTTTTCTTCCAAGCCTCTCACCTTGTTGTTCAATAAATTAATTTCATTTCGAAGCTCTTTGATAATTTCATACTTCTGTTGAATGATGTAATTAAACAGATTCTTGATATCATTTCCATCATCTCCATTGAACAAAAAACTGGGGGTACCAATTGGAGCTGAACCATCAGCTATTTTGCAGCACGAGATTGCATTTAGACTCACAAATTCAACTTTTCATGCATTTTTAGCACAACTAACATGATAAATACATCTACATGTAATGCATGACACACCATTCACCACGTTTGTCTTGCACTTCTTACATTTTTTTGGATTATTTCTACTTGTAATATCAGCAGCTTGCTTTGGCTGCGCTATCTTGTTCTTTATTATATTAAGTAAAGACTGTAAGTAAATTAGTTCGTAGAGTCCGTTTTTCTAAGAGGTACACACCAATATAACGGCCCTGTAACACATTTAAGACCAAATTTGTAATGCGCATGCTTGACGTAGGGGTTGCATGTCATCAGTAGCGTACTTTAATTTTCCTTACACTTACCCATACCAAATGAAAAAACGGCCATTAGCAAGCATAAATCAAATTGTTTTGTTTTCGTCTTTTGTTAATTGTGTATTTTGGTAAGTA